TTATACTTTATATATATTATAGATAAGTTATATTATATATATATATATATATATATTAAAATAAATTATTATTATATAAGAGTTTATTCATATACATATATATTGCAATTGCATTGAAAATTATTATTATTATTATTATTACATAACATTTATATGAATATTATTTGACTATTGTCTACCAATTTTCTGTATGATTTTATTATCATTTTGTTGTAGTTGTTGTCGTTGATAGCACTCATTATAATTGCTATTGTTTTTAAAAAACTAAATATATGATGATTTTTTTCGTATATTATATATTTTGCAATAGTTATAAAATTTAAAAATAAAACATTTGTGTGTTATTATTGTTTTTTTTAAATAAATTTTATGAATAAATTTTCTAATTTAAATAATATTTCAAATCATCACTGACTATATTACTATATTATTATACAATATATATATATAAATATATATTTGCAATGAACGGGTATATTACATAATATATATATATATTTATATATATTATACATATATATATATATATATGGAGGGGTATTATACCCCTTATATTATAGATAGAGAAAAAAATTATTTATTCAAATATAAAGACCTTTTTATTATATTTAATATTATTATTCATTCATTCATTCATTTTTGTTGATTCAATGAACAAAGTGTTAGCAATATATATATATATATATATATATATATATACCATATATATATATATATACATACATACATAATAATATAGGGGATAGGGATGTGGCATATGTGTGCTGTAATGCCTTTTTCATATGCTATTGTTAATAAAATAGAAGTGTTGATAACTATATTTAAATACAAGTGCACACACACATAGAGTAAGTATAAGCTAATAATATAAATATATATACATTTATATCAATAAACGGTATATAGTATTTAAATAGAAACTAAATTATATATATAAATATCTACTGTAGTAGTAGTAGTAGTATAGCAGCTAACTGTCCACCTGTTCCCCTCCTCTCTCTCTCTCTCTCTCTCTCTCTCATCCATACATCACTCTAGTTTACTACTCATTAACTACAGTATCGTATAGGTTATACATAGTTTATATATAATATATCCAGTGCTTAATCCCAGACCACAATCAAACATACTGTACTGTACTGTATGGTACACTCCTGTGTTTAAGGGCAGTGTGTTTTTCCGGTGCAATTGGCACACACACACACRCACTGGTATTTTGGGAGCAGAGCTGAAAAATTTATATGCCTAACTCTCTAGTAGTATGCTTAGCACTATTAGGTCGGTGTCTATGTATATAAAACTATATGTTTGCTAAATAATAATCACTGTTTTATGAAGTGAAATACGCTTATTATTGCCGGCTATGTCTCTCTCTCTCTCTCTCTCTCTCTCTCTCTTTCTATTCAATACAATAAGTATTTGAAACTATTGTCGTAAACCACTGGCAAAATAGTAAGCACTAGTACTAGTGGTAAATCCCCTTACAAACACACATACAGTATATATATATATGCCATATACTGTAGTACAACATAGTTAAAGATTGTTATATTATAAAAATATAGAGAGGAGACTGCTTATCCATCCATCCATCCATCCACATCCCAGTGCTCTTATGGTATTGATGCGATAGCCAACACAACACACAATTGGCCCTATAGTTGATACCATACACTTTACTGTGTGTGTGTTTGGATGTGGATGTTGGACATCACATCACATATATACACACACATAAGCACTGGTAGTAGTAGTAGTAGTGTGTCTAAGCAAAAGTGTAGACATGGCATACCATGCCGTGTGTGTGTGTGTTATGTGTGTGATGTATAACAAATGAAAGCGAAATTGGATGCGACCATCTGCCAGACTGATCACCCAATGACTGCCAGTGCCTTTAACCATACCATTGTGATGATGGGCACACA